GCTGTCAAGAGCGTCTTTAAAGAACAAAGATGTCAGTTTAAAGACTACATATATACTTTGGGCATGTTGTCAGGAGGTACCGATCCTGAGAAAAAAGATACGATCCAGGAAAGTCAATGAAAGAGTCAGTGAAAGTCAGTGAAAGAGATGAAGACCATGAATGAGATGGATTGACACAGACTGCAACAGTGATGGAAAGCGTGAGCATGGGGCAAGACAGGGCAAGGCTTTAATCTGAGTCAGCACCTAACAACATAGAACCTGCTTTCACTATCTCCTTCTTAGATGTATTGAGGGTAATGCTGCTCAATTGTAATCATAGCTTCTCACAATAAATCTATTTCTGTGGTACTTCAAAATAAAAACCTAATAGCATTGTGCTAAGAAGCTAGATTTTTTAAAAAAGGCTACATATTTTATTATTCCATTTATATGACACAACCAGAATATGCAAATTTATAGAGAGCAAGCAAGTGAAAGACTTGCTTAGAGTGGAAATGTAGTAACAGTTACACAAGTCTATTAATTTACTCATTCAATTGCAACAGATCAGCTGAATTAGTATAAAGAATGCTCTCCTTGAACACTGCACTTCTCAGGAATCATCTATATGAGAGAAAAATTGACAACAGTAACTCTAAAACAGAGATGAGCATAAACAGAGAGTTTATGCAAGCAATGAGTCTAAATCAATAGTAGTGAATCCAAATGGGGAGAAATATCGAGAATGATGAGGAATGTAACCAATGTCACTGCCTGTAGAAAATATTGAATGAAGTGCGTAATCTGCCATATCTATTTTCACTAAGAAGAAAAGAAACAACCATAGTTTTAAAATCAATGAATTATACCCTTACAATTGATGAATTTGAGTATGTAATTCTAACAATACATCAGTTTTTAAAATGTAAACTCAGACTACACCTCCAGGAATTTTCATTCAGTAGATGTGAGTTTATTCTCAGGACACTGACATGTTTAACAAGTAAACTCGGTTATTCCCAGGCATCTGGTTCCTTGACTCTTGACTTGATGCTGATGGGGATAAATGGAGGGTGAGAGTGAAGAGAGCAGGAGGAAGGCGAACCAAAGGGTTAGCGGCCCTCCCCCCTTCAGCCCATCAGAGTCAAGTGGTATCTGCTGCTTAAAACTCTCTAAACAACATTTAGAGGGCTTCATTTAAATAGTTTCTATCAGCCACTCCCCCTTCTCCACCCTCTTTCTTGGCTCCTCTGGGTGGGTCTTGGTCTTTTAGTCACTTCCCAGGACAGAGCTTAGCTGAAGGTGAGGTTAGAGGGGCAGTCTTACAAAGTCCAGGATCAGATTTTGGTTTTGGGTAGTTTTGCAAATTGTATTATGCACTTTTGCAGTAACTGTATTTCTTAAAATATTGCATCAAGATATTATTAATCTTAAATAGTGAGTTTCTTGGCATCTCAGAGATGAAAGACTCACTCTTCTTACCCTGTTTGGAAGTTCACTTAGATGCCTAGTCCCTCCCTACCTCCCTACTTCCTTAGAGCTAAGAGCAAGGAGAGAGTGACTGTTTACATCAGCTCTTGCTGCTGGAGATCCCTTGAAATGCACAAAGGGAGGCCAGCAGAAAGGAACAGGAGAATGTCTTCTTATCTTCTCCACTCTCAAGTAGGCAACCACACACTTTTCTCAATGGGAAAGGAGAAGAATATCTCAATTCTTATCACCAAGAGAACTATTTTCATGCTGCGACTATATAACCTGACATTGATCCAAATTGTTAACCTCTCTGGCTGTTTCACATAGAAGGCATTTGGGCATGCTGCTTCTAATGTGATGACAATAGTTCAGCCCATTCTATGCACATTTTCCCAGTGCACTCAGATTTCAAAACAACATACAGTCACTGAGTATCTACTGAGCCCTGTCCAAAAGCCTTTCCTCTAGGACCTGGATTTACCCCAGGCACTCACTGATGGTCCTCAGAGCTTCCTTCACATCCTAGTGGGGCCCTAATCCTTCTTTTGCTGGAAAATGTTTATCAGTTTCTCTTCCCCACCAGTTCTGCCTGCTTTCCCCACTAGGTCGAGCTTGCAACATGTCCCAGGCATAACTGAGAGAAGTAACAAAACTGGAAGTGATAAATGTGAGCTGACAACAGAGGTTTCCCCATTTTACCTCAGGTTAGCCTCAGCCCCTACCCACCATTCAGTTCAACGTCTTGGCTTCAGCCCAACAGCAGACTTGGAAATATGTGGTGGAGTGGGGACAAGTGCTCTCGGAATCGGAAAAAAATTTTATAAGGTTTGAGCCTTGAGAACTTTTAGGCTCCCTCTCCCTGCCAGTAATCACCAAGCCAAAGTAAAAATCTCTGGGGGGCACACAGACCACTTTGAGATGACCAGAGTTGCTTCCATTTTTCACCCAGTTCCTTAACTAGGAATACTGAAATTCCCTTCCTGCTGTTGTCAGGGAAGGAGTAATTTTCTATAATTCCAGGGTTCGTGATGAGGTGAGGCTCCCACCACACCTCGAGGATATTGTTGGGGAAGTGGGTGTCTGAAACATAAAGCAGGCACCTTATGCTATCAAAAAGGCCTAAAGAGGAAGAAACCCTGCGGAGTGGCTAACAGCAAGGATGAAATTCTGAAGGGATCCAGTAGTGGAACCTGGCTCATGTGCTGGGGGTTGAGTGCTAGAGTGCAGGGATCCAATCAAACCATCCATCTCCACCTGCAGGCCACTAGACCACCACCTCTTACCATCTCCAAGGTCAGGAACACTGGATGCCAACCTGTCTTGGAATTTATGAAGCCAGCAAAACAATGACTTGCTCTACTCCTCAAGCACAAGACCAAGCTACAGACTCAGAGAGGGAAATTAGAGGTTTCCTTCAGTCAGAAGTCCTAGTTCTCTTCCCTTCTCCCTTTGCCATCTTTCTTTGTGACTTTTTGGTGTCCTGGGACTGGGGTGTGTGTCCCTCACTCACATCACTAGAGAGCCAGTTTGCTTGCCTGCAACAAGCTGGCACTACATTGTGGCTGGTATGCATGCCCACATCATTGGTGGCATCCAGTGCCTTACCAGCATCTCAGGTAGCTAACAATGCATAGCACCAGGGACAATTTGGGGTTGCACTAATGTTCTTGAGATGTTTCTGAGGTTCTATACAAAAGATATGCACTTTATGGAAACTGATGTCTTTAAAGAAACTAACTTTCAAATTTTGAAGCACTTTCTAGGGCCCCCATTCAGGTGGCTAACCTCCTGAGTTGAGTCAAGGCATTCAGAGGCAAGACTGATCCTTCTACATCAGTGTCAGTAAGCCTATTCTCCCAGTCTCTCAAGCCTGGAGAGAAACTAGAGGACAAGACCTTACTAGTATCTTGGGTTGGACGCAACCCAGTGAAATTCTCCCTTCTGTCAGGTTCATAAATGTCACTGACCATGAAGCCAAGGCAACGCCCACCAGTTAAGAGTTGAAGCTTGGCCAGCCTCTGCTAGCACTCCAGGAAGCCGTTCCTCGGGCTCCTCCCCACAGCTACAGCTTCTGGTGACCCAGACCAAATTTCTGAAGTCCTCCCCTAGGGAAGGTTGTCCTCTCTCTTCTCTCCATATATTCCAGACAGTGCAGACAGCTCCCAGCTTTTGATAACTCAGCCCTAGCTCCACAAGTCCAGTCCTTCCTCCCCACCCACTCTCCTCCAGAAGGTGACCCCATTCCCTCATTCTGCAGCTTCTAACAGCTCCCACTCCTACCCCAAGCCTCCCCTAAGAACATACTGAGGACAATCCACACAGGGCCTGTATTTTTTCCTGTGATCAAAACAAATAGAGCCAAACCCCAAGGGAGCTACATCAGTGAGCTCCTCTGTGTTGTCACCTTCTGGGCACAGCCTCAAATCTATGAAGTCTGTCTAATACCTGGGCTCCTGAGCCTCTGCTTCTTCCTTTCTCTGACCTTTTCATGGCACCATAGGCTATCTTTGGAAAATAACACCTTTGACAATTACTTTCAACGTGGAGAACAACTTTCATTGCTGGGAATGGACATTGCCATGGCGAACAGTAACAGGTCATGGATTTCCCCTCTCCTGACCTTCTTCAAGTAGAGTCCAAGGCAAGGACCATCTCTGCCATATCCCAGATAGGGCTTTGCTTGGAATGGCTAGAACTCCAGCGCCAAACTCTACTCCTGTGTCAGCTTTTAGTAGTCCAAGTTCCTCACAAATACACAGAGGAAAAACTCCCCATGTGCTCAGAGATCCTTAGGTACCAAAAGAACAAATGCCAAGACACAACAAAGAGCCTAACAGAAACCCCTACGCCCGTGGGAATTGACATCAACATACTAGATACATCCAAGCTATACTCGCAGCAATGTAGACACACTTGCACACCCAGGAACACCTGGGAAAGAGCCCAGAACTCATAGGCCCGACCCTCCTAAGACCCCTGACCTAACACACACACACTATTAACGCGAGCCAGCTCCCCTAATCCCCAACGCTAGGTACGGCTTGAAGATTCCCGAGGGAATTTTTTCTCAAGGCCCTGTTAGGAAAGGAAGGTACAGAAAGTGCCCGCCAGGATCTGAAATGGCTAAGCTCCTTACAGAGGAATCTTACCGAAATCCGATATCCGTAGGCATAGCCCTCTATCACCTCGTCGGAAACGTGAAAGTGTCTTAACTCGTTCCTCAGATTAACCTTGGATCCACCGGAGCGCCCTTCCCACTGTCAGGAGAGGTTGGCGATCCTGCTGTGTTGCCAGCTAACGTGGCCTAGCTGCCTGCGGGGCTCTGGCTGAGCTCAGGCTGTGCGTTTGGGGACCAGTTCCCCAAGTTCTTATAGCTGTCCAAGCTCAGACAGGACTCGCCAGTACTATTTCTGGACGAGGAAGGCGGGGAATGTCCAACATATAGGAGGTACAAAATACCTAGAAAGGAATTGAGTCTGTGCGCTTAGGTCCTACACCCTCTCGCTTTGCGAGTCTCTGGCAGAAGCAAGCCGCTTGTTTCTTACCTTTCTTGATCACAGACTGGTCCAGGAGGCTCATTCCCGGCTCATCCATGGCCTGCAATGAGGAAAGGACAAGGATGAAGTTGCGCCTAGACCTTGTTTCCTGTCGCTTCCCAGGCCCGCTATGCCTGACTGCGCACCCTTGTCGCCTGAGGCGGAGAAGGGCGGGACCAGGAGTCGCCATCTCAACCCCTTCCACAATTGAGCTGGAGTCGTCAACTTTGCACCTCACAGTGCAGAACCCCTACAAAAGCAGGTAGAAAGGTAAATTACGATTTTTGGCAGGAAAATTATTAATTTCCTTTCTTCACCTTAGACTGTGCCGGCTGCAGGACCGGGTATGGTTGCCTTAAGCGCCTCAGTGCCCCATAGGTAGTGAGAATAGTTCAGCTCCTGACTCTGCAGAGAGTGGCCTCCACCCAGGCCCCGCACATCGCCAGGTCACATCTAACCCTAGACGTGGGACGCATCCACCGAAGGAATCTCAAATGACAAGCGGTGAACTCAAGAGAAACTAGGTTCCCACACTCATCTTATTTCCTGGGCCTCTGTGGCCCAGCCCGTCTCTGACTCCAGCGTCTCACCTGCAGGTCCTCCAGGCCTGGCGGCGCCGCCAGCCCGGGGAGACCAAGAGGCGCATCGGCCAGGCCGTGCGCGCCGTCGGCCAGGCCGTGCAGGAGCCGCGGCACAGCGGCGGCATAGTCGCGGCGCGGGTCCAGGCCCAGGGCTCGGGCGGGCGGAGCCAGAAGACCCGGCGGCTCGTCGTGGGAGCGGGCGGAGGCGCGGGGCGCGGCCCAGGCGGCCTGTGGAGGCTGGGGCTGCGCCAGGGGCGCCAGGCCGCCATAAGGGTCCCCTGCCAGGTGCGGAAATGTAGCTGCGGCGTCGGGCGCCTGGCCGTAGGGCAGTGGTGGCTGCGGGTAGGGCGGCGGGAAGTAGGGCGGCTGGAAGTCAGCGGCGGTGGCAGCGGCCGGCGTGTGGCAGAGCGGCGGCGCCGGCCCGTACGCTGCTTGGGGCAGAGACGACAAGCGGGCCCCGCCAGCCGCTGCGCCCAGCCCGTCGGGGCGTTCCTGGGGAAGAGAGGAGCGAGTTAAGTAACCCACAGGAAGCTGACCCCAGCCCTAAAGGACCCTCCATCTCCAACCCTTTCTCGAGTTGCCATCCTGCCCGCTTCCAAGGTTCAAGATCTATTTCTTTCTTTTTCTCCACCCCCCCCCCGCCCCATTTCTGAGTGGTCTGCAGTTCAGGAAGCGTCAGGCTGGGGTCAGTGGTCTCCAAATAGTGTTCTCACTGGCCGAGTCCCTACAGCACCCTCCCTGCGAGATTTAGTCGACGCAGCGGCAGGAGGTAAGTATGGGAGGTCCAGGTCTCAGGCTCCCAGTTTCCTCCAGCCAGTTAGCCATTGAAGCCCAGAATCCCGAAACCACTCACCATAGCTGAGTAAGTGTGCACCAACATGCGGTGGGTAGTGGGAAGCGCGAGGCGTGGCGGCGGTAGAGCTCTTGCCCGACGGCGATCGCTGAGTAAAGGGGCGCGCGGGTGGCCCGCACAGCCCTGGGGGTCACCGCACAGCGCGCGCACTCCCGCGGTGCTGGGTCCTCAACAGTGGGCGCCCCCAGGCCGGTCCATGGGGACAGAACCTAGGTCCGACTGGTCGTCTCGATCCAGACGGTCAGTGGTTATACTTGGAAAAGTCACTCAACCGGTGCCTAGCGCTCCCCCTTTTCTCTCTGAGAGCAGCCTGCTCCATGCACTCCAATTATAGTGGCGGGGGCGCGCCAGGCCTCCGGGGGCGCGCATTAAAGAGACACGCTGTGACCGCTCTCTCCCTTTTCCCCAGCGGCCCCCCAAAGGGAGGCGGGGTTTTGCGGGGACCCCTGTGGAATGGAGTGGAGGCGTGAACCCAACCTCCGCTATGTCTGAGCTGCCTTCTGGCCCGGCTACTGGCAGATGTGGTGAAACAGAGGAGGCCCAGGAGGCTGCCTTGCTCAGCCTGCCCCGGCTTGGTAACCCCAAGGATAAGGAAGTTGGAGAAAAAAGCGGAGCAATGTTTCCCAGGGCTAGGGACCCTTGCGAAGGGATCTGGATGCTTCTGGGTGCCTGGAGTGATTGAGTGACATCCAAGACCGGTGACTTCCAGGGACTGCTGAGTGTGTAACTGACTCGTGTGCATGGTGCACGATTGTTACTCACATGCCCATCCCGTGTGTTCATGTGTTAGCACTGCACGCAAGCACATTTCCGTTCTTGCCTTCGCTCCCACTTTCTTTCTCTCAGCATTCAACCCTCTTCTGAGAAGCAAGGACGAGGAGGAGTAGATAAAGGGAAATGGAGGGAAATAGCAAGAGAGTGGACATTAAGGAAGCAAAAAGAAGATAATTTTTAAAAGTAAAAAGATAATAGGGACAAAAGCGTTATGGAAATAATTACAGAAAAAACATTTATGACAGACTCTGCTAAGTGCTTTATGAATTTGACCCTCACTGCAGGCCTTGGAGAGAGAGAGTCTTATCCCCAATTTCAGATGAGGAAAATGAGGTGGGAAAAGGTTAAATAATCTGCTCAAGGGCAAACAACTAGTTAAGTGGCAAGCTGAGATAACTTGGCTTTGTCACCTCTCTCTGTTCACACTGTCCTTCCTGTGCTGCATGGGTTAGAATTTAGCCCTGACTGACTGGCTGTATGACTGCTGCCAAGTATCTTCCTTTTTTACTTCAGTTTCTACAGTTTGAAAAAAAAAAAAAAGAATATATTGAAAGGACCAGATATTTTCTTAGGTCACTTTGTGGAAGATGACGCAGTGAATTTAAAAATGTTGAGGTTCATACAAGGAGAAGTGAGGTGACACCACTAAGCTATGGAAAGTATATGGAGGAGACTTGAAGGGTCTATCCCAAAGGACGCATAGTGAGTGTAGAGCTCAGGAAAGGAAGAGACTGGCAGCAAAGAATTAATTCATCATTAAGAACTTTCAAAATGGAAACTACAGCTAGTGGATAAGGTAGAATTAGGATATCCTTGCTCAGAGGTCAAGCGTCTGTGTCTATATATATAAATGGATATACTAATTTTTGGTAGCTCCTAGCCCCACCCCACCTCACCCTCCAAACTTTAGATAAATCTAGGGAGCAATAATGGTGATGATATTGTCCATGCCCAGCTCCCAGCTCAGAGGACTCCTCTCCACATCTCTCCAGCAGAATGGGGAAGGCCAAAATGACATGACCTACTGCTTGTACAGAACTTCCTTGAGTTTCCTTATCATATTTCTCTGCACCTTAAGACACTCCTTTCTTACTTGGTTCTCCTTCAGGAAAACTTTTTCAAACCATATATTTTATGTCAGTTATTAATTTTGAGAGTTCAAGCTTCTGCCTTTGTTTCCAACCTAGTTTTTTCATACATTAGTACACTCCCTTCCAAGTCTTTCATATTTTACCTGTCTTATTTTTTATTTTAATTTTTTTATTGTATTATATTTACATGTACCGTCAAATCAGATCTGACTGGTACAGGAGGAGATTGCCCCCTCCTTCTCCAGCAGAGCATCTGTTACCTGTCTTTTTATTGCCTAAATTTACTTCCAGTCTGTGTCTCTCACTAGATATCTAGACCCAATAGAGTAACTATCTACTGGATATTTTATCAAGACATCTTATGAAAGCCATCTGAAATTTTCCAAGTCTAAACTGAACTCGCTGTCTCTACCCCCACCAACTCAGTCTGCCTTTCTTCTTGTGTTTTATTGTTCAGTAAATGATACTACCATTTTTCAAGTTAAAAACTTGTCAGTCACCCTAGACTTACTTTCTCTTAAGCCAATTCATGTGGAGTGCTGTCACTTTTAACCTTTAAACAACTCTCTTCGTCCCTTGGCCAGCCCCTTAAGCTACCTTAACTCCTTTCTCATAGACCAGGAGTTCTCAAAGTGTGATCACTGAACCAGCAGCATCAATTAAATTTGGGAACTTGTTAGAAGTGCCAATTCTTGGACCCTATTCCAAATCTACTGGATCAGAAACTCTGAGGTTAAGTGTCTGGCAATCTGTGTTTTGATAAGCCCTTCAGATAATTTGTTATTGTTGTTGTTAGATGACAATTATGACACTTAGCAACCCTATGAAGAACAGATCTGAACCCTGTCCTATCCTGTGCTGTCCTCATTGTCTCTGACACACTTGTGCTTGAGTCAACCCACTTGGTTGAGGGTCTTTCTCAGGTGATTTAGAAGTACTCTAAAGTTTAGGGACCACTGTCTAAACCGGTGCAACCCATAATGTTTTTTTTTAAAAAAAAACACAGCCATTGAGTTGATTTCTAACGATGGCAACCCATTGTATTGCAGAGCAAAACTGCTTAAAGGGTTTTTTACTATAATCTTTATGAAATAGCCATGGTGGCACAGTGGTTAAGTGATTAGCTGCTAACCAAGTTAGTGGTTTCACTAGGAATGTTGCCAGTTCAAACCTACCAGCCACTGTGGCAATTTGCTTTCCTAAAGATTCACAGCTTTGGAAGCCCTATGTTGTTGTTGTGTGTACCATTGAGTCAGAACCAACCCATAGCTGACCCTCCAGGGGGTTTTCAGAGGCAGTTAATTACCTTGGAAGAGATTGTCCATCTGTCTCCTGACAAACAACTTGTGAATTCGAATCACATACCTTTATGTTGACTTTATGTGCAATTCTTTACCAGTAAGCTACCAGAGCTCGCTATGGGACTGTTCTAGTAAGTCAATAGAATTTCTATGAATTGGAGTTCATTCAAAGGCAATGGTTTGGGCTGGGTTTAATCTTTATGAAAACAGATCACCAGACCTTTCTTCCCCAGTGCTGGATGGATTAAAATTCCTAAATTTTAGGTTATAAGTTGAGTACAAATTGTTTACACCTTCCAAAGACCTCTGCATCATTGCAACAGGCTACTAATTGGCCTCTTACGTTCACTGAGTTCTCTTCTAATCCAAATCCAATTCCACACAGCAGCAAGAATGACTGGACCATTGTTAATTCTCTACTGGAAATTCTCCTAAGACTCCCCATGCCCCATCTACGGGGGGTGGAAATATCTCTTCATAACTGTAGCTAACTTCCTCTTTCTGTATCATCAACCACTTCCTAAATATAAGATTAAAGGGAAAAAATCAGACTGGAAATGTATCCAGTATTGTGCTTGGAGCATGGCAGGCACTTAATAGAAGTTTGTTAAGTAAATAATTGAATTGATGTGTTTATAATCTCTTAACCTATTGAAACCTGCATAGGAACATGCCCTTTGGTATAGAAAAACAAGACATAATTGAGGAGGTTCTTTGATGAGTTCTGGGTGGTGCAGTTAATGTGCTCAGCTGCTAATTGAAAGGTTGGATGTTCAAATTCACCCAGATGTATCTCAGAAGAAAGTCTTGATGGTTGAATTCTGAAAATTTGCCATTGGAAATCCTGTGGAATGTAACTGGAGCATGCTGACTAACACACATGAGGTGACCATGAATCCTGGGCTAAGTTGATGGCAGCTTAACAATAACACTTTGAAGAGTGAGTGATTTTGCTCATAACTACCGGGGAGAAGAGTGTTCTTCAAAATGCAACTGCTTGGTAGGTTCCCCTAACCTTCAAGGTCTAATGGCTACAGACACTGGTTTATTTCTATTTTAAGAGGTAAGCATGCACACACAGGGAGGCCCTAGCATGCATACAGAAGTACACATGCAGGCACTTGTGGGTTTCACAGCAGGAACACGGGAAACATGTCCCCACAGGAGCTGTAAGATGTATGTTGACTGGCTCTTCTCTCAGGCTCAATTATTTCCATTTCTTCTCAAAAAATGAGCTTGCATTTAGATTTGGGTAAGAAAAATTCAAAATAACACAGCTTCCCACCTCTTCCAGCCTTTAACAATTTGTACTCTGGGGAGCTCTGATGGCCTAGTGGCAAGAAGCTGCACTGCAATCCCAGAGGCGCACAGTTCGAATCCACCAGATGCTCTGCCGGGGAAGGAGGGACAATCTCCTCCTGTACCAGTCAGATCTGATTTGACGGTACAAATAATTAAAAAATTTAAAAAAAAGCTGTTTGTCTTTACTTGCTCTTTGAGACGCCTAATAAATATGAGCTCTTCTCCTTCCTGAGGAGTTGAGTCTCCTGACCCTGACCCTTTCTTAAAGATTAACTTGTGTCTGAATTTCCTTAAAAAACAAAAAAAACCCAATTTCTACTCTGGTTTAATAGTTATAGACCAGACACAATCTAGCACAAGAAGATGCTGAGGTGCCACCTTGTGGATAGACCTCACCATTGCAGCTCAGGGACGCTTTTCCTCCTCAGGTAAGTCACCAGGAGCAACTGTGGACATGTTTACCAAGCCAAATTTACCTTTCTATCTGTACTTACTTTTTTTTTTCAGTTTACTGGCACATAGTAGGTTATTGAAAATATCATGAATCATGTCAGTCTCA